TGGCTGTTGCCTGAAATGTTTCCCATTTTTTCTCTGTGTTGTTCTAGCACACAAATTAAAGGGAAGAAGAAATTATAAGGTGATCTGATCAGCCTAACTGTGATAACCAAGGAGCTGTCTTCAGAGTAGATCTGGCATTGCTTTAGCTTCCTTTTTGAAAAGCAGGTTAGGAGCAGTTTAATCAGTTTATGACTTTTAGTTTATTTTTAAATACTTCTAGATTGTTTGTTTCCTCACTTATGACCTATTGATTATATGCTTTGCTGACTTATGTGGCACCCAGGTACAATTATGTTAATAAACTGAAGAAAACAGCATTCAATATTATAGTCTTCTTCACCAAATGAAGTGGTATTATCAAAATCATCAGATAGTGGCTTGTAAAGGAAGTACTTTTTGACACAGCACACAATTAAGCTATGGAACTCATTGCCACAGAATGCTGTGAGTGCCAGCCATTTACATGGGCTTAAACAATAAGATGAATTCATGCTGGAAAAGCTCATTAAGGGCTATTAAGTTCACAGATGCGGATGCAACTGGGAAGTCCTTAAGCCATGTTATTGCTGTAAACTGGAAGGGTGTAGGGAAGAAAAAGATAAAGTCATCCAGTTGACAGCAGAACTCTTCCCCTCAGCCCCATTCCCCTGCCCTGAGCATTACTGAAGGCTGAAGGCAGGCTACTGAGCTAAGTGGACTTTTTGAGCTGATCCTGTTTGGTAGTTCATGTTCTTATCTGTAATTCACTCACTTCCAACTTCAGCAATGCAGCACTGTGATCCATTGTTTCCCTTTTCTGCAAATGTAATCAGAGGTACTTGCCTTTTTCTTCTGTGCTGAAGCTTTTGTACCTGTTCTGATCCCGTTCCTGCATGCAGCGCTTTCTGGTTCACCCTTTTCTTTTCACATGAACTGCCTGCCTTGTTACTAACAGGCTAAGGTGGAAGTGGTGCTGCATCAGTCTCTTTTTGCTACAAATTAGAATAGTTTGCTCCCTTCATGTGTTTTTTGGAGAAGCATCCAGTGCTCCTCTCCCATGGAACTGTGCCTGTTAATTCTTTGGCACTGTCAAGTGATTGATGACAAATCAGTTGAACCTGGTGTTCTCCTGGTATTTCACTAATTGACTGCTTGGTTCTCTAGCAGCGATCAGAAGAATGATGTTTCTTTTTTTAACCACTGCAGATGTCTGGTGGTTTTCCCTGCTGTTCTGCTTCTGTCAGGGCTGGGCTGGGCTTAGGATGGTAGGTTTGGGTGCAGTGTTAAGAATTTCTTCAGAGGCAGGTGGAAAATTGTGGGCCTCTGCTATTAAGTCGTTGTTTTGAACAGGTAGGAAAGGGGTCTTCTCTATGAAACAGATTCTGTTCTTATCACCCCTTTTTCCTTCTTTCTTTTTTCCCCTCTTTCCTACCAAACACTGTCATAACAGACTCTTTCCTGTTTGGCGTAAGCAGGAAATGTTTGGCTGCACAGAGATCTAAAATATTAATGCCAGCTGAGCATACTCGGCTATTTCAGCTGCTTGCATCCCAAATTTCTTCTGTCCGAGCAGCCTTTTTAATCCTCAGCTAAGGCACAGTTTTCAAGTTTCAAATTCAGGCTGTCTTCTTACAGTAGCATTAAAGTCAGCAGTGTTAATCGTATGTGAGATTTAGTTTTGGGAGACGTGTTTGTGTATTAAGAGTAGGGAGTTGGTGGAAAGCATGAGGCAAATAACTCGAGTAGCTGAAAAGACTCTGTTAAAAACCCAGGTTCTTCAAGGAGAAAGGAGGTCTGGAAAACCAGCCCAGAAAGAAGAACTGTTCCAGTCCTTGGAGTATGTGGAAAATGAACTAATTGCAAATAGACGTGGCAACCTTTAGCTAAAACTGGTACCTGTTCACTACAACACCATTCCTCCCACTGTCTGAAAGCTTTACTATGTTATAAGTGATACAAGTGGGCTTCTTATAATACACCACTGTTCCAGACCAGTGGTAAAGCAAGTCACTGCTTGCTTTCCATCTGTGAGCTCCTTTGGTTTGCCCACCTTGAGCAGGTTTATTTTCACTGTGCTTTTGTGTGTAAAACGGGATTAATTCCACTTGTCTCACAAACTGCAACATGCTTTGCCTGAGGGAGTTTGTAGCCAGGCTGGATGCCTTGCATCTCAGTACAGTGACCTGCCATAACGCTGCCCATTCTCCAGACCTGCTGTTCCTTTCTTTGCTGAGGAAATGTGACATTGGCCATCTTGAAGGGAAACTGCAGGGGTAAAGTGATGGAAGAGCTGACTGAGGTTGGTCTTTCACATCTAGGTAGGCCATTTACTGCAAATGTATTTGCAGAGGGATGGTTACTTGTTTCGGATCCTTCACCTAACAGGAAACTGTTCATTTCAGCAAGATCCATGAGGAATGAATGGTAAGTCAGGCGGAGCTCTGCTGATCAGTCCTCCTGCAAATCTTACCTGGCATGGGAAGACACTGTGTCTTACAACACCGAAATGGAAGGATGGAAGAAAGGACTTTTGAAAGTCTTTGTTCCAACTCACGTACTGTTTTACTCGGCTCTTGATAGAAGGAGTTAAGCTCATGTGGGAGCTTAAATGACCAGTGCGGTGCAGTCACTCCTGTGCTTCACCACAGCCTGGATCTGCTGCCCACTGTGAGCTTAAACACAACCCCCTCTTTACGTTTGCCTTTGGAAGTCAGGCTCTTGCAATGAGCTCACCCACAACAAAAGCTTCTTGGAGCCCTGTCCAGCTCCAGCTAGTGCCTACCTAACAACAGCTCCTTTCCTGTCATTCTCTTGCCTACTACACATAGCAGCCGAATGAGTGTTTGGGTGGGGAAGGAAGGAGATTGCAACATCCATTAGGGAAAAAAAAAAACAGAAGAAAAGGCCTGTCTGTGTCTGACTTTTCAAGTGCAGCTGTAAAACTTTCCTTGGCCTTTGAAAACGGAGCTCTGCCATGTGGTGGGTGCGAGCTGGGGAATACGTCAGCCTTTGAAGTTAGTCCTTTAAATAGGCAGTTGCAAATGGCATCAAAATTTAAGCTTTGGTAGCAGTTTTGCTGCAAGCTGGAGTAAGTAAGTTACTTATTCTGACAGTGCACTGAGGATGGTAAGAGTAAGTTACAAACACCCACAGCTCTGTCATCCCCAGCCATCAGACCATACTCACCCTGTGCCAATAAATCTGAATCTCTAGAACTGAAGCAGGAACCTCTTGCAGGGGACCACAGAATTGGTTTCCAGAAGACTTCAGTGCTCTGTTTTAGCAGAAAGCTGTGCCAGCAGTGACTGAAGACTGCTGTGTTCACACGATGGCAGCCCTGAAGTGTCTGAACGAAGAGTGGCTCAAAGGCTGTGTGTCTGGCTGCTGTAAAGAAATGAACAAAATACAGGGAAAGTGTTCTACAAGCCACACAGCAGAAGGCAACCAAGAGCCCTGAAGCATTTCTTTTCTCATCTGTAGTGTTTTGAATGCTTAGATACTAACTGCCACATGGTACAATGCAGCACTTCATAGTTCTTAATCTATAGGCATTACTCTTCTACAGAGGTACATTGTTCTTATTTTTAATGCTGAGGACAGGGATAAAAGCTTTGCTTGTGCAAGGAGTTGAGTTAACAGGTAGAGCTGCACACATTTAATCTAATGTAAGCTGATCTGAACAGGCACGGTGAGTTAGGAGGAAGTTGTGCTGCCCTGGCAAGAGCGTGTCTGCCTCTTGTAGAGGTACGTATTTGTACTGCATACCTGAATGGATTTACCTAAATTCCCCCAATCTTCCATTGAGAAATAGCCTTGTTACCTTGCCTGCATGCACAATCAGGTGTCCTTGGAGAAGTGAAAAGCAGAGATGAAAAGGGAAATTGTCTTGTATTGCTTTGCTGGTGCCTCTTGTTAAGTTACTGGTGGTGAAGTTTGCAGTGTGTGCCTGGAGGGAGAGAAGGGAAAACCTCACTTACTTCCCAACAATAGTTACATTCCAGAACTTACACAGCTCTCCTGGGAAATGTCTTTCCTGTGTCCATTGTCTAATGTAGTGCCTTTCCTAATCATTCTTTGTCATCTCCAACCTTCTGGAAAAGTGAGTGTTTCCCAGG